CCTGAGTTATGCACAACCACACTAGCTAAATTTCACTTTTAATTTTTTGCACCAACACAAAGTGAAGTTAGTGGAGTTCTTGTGAAAGGAACAGCTATGTGAAAAGTTTTCTGCCATATCCTGGTGTGCATATTTGATTATTGTTGCTGGCTTTAATACTCGTAGAGGAGTTCTCCACGAGGGAATGTGTGTATGGTTGTAAGGTTGAATGGTTGTATGGTTCATAATCGGCTCGGCAGACTATGTGCGGGTATAACCAACGTATATCAAGTGCCCCTATATTTGCACGCATACTTTGTATTTGTGTCTGGCGTGGATTTTCAGTATTTTCAGTATTTTCAGTTTGGTATTCGTTGTTGCTTTTACTGTTTGGCTGTTTGGTAGGTTATTGAACTTACAGAGCATGTCGTCAGCTCTAAAGGATAACAACAACGGCATCAGGACAACAACATTTCACTTGTCGTTGTTGCGCTTGTACGAATTGCCTTTGCTGCAATTCGTTTATCATATAGACCACCACCGGCTATAGTGTATGTTAGGTTGGGATAGGGTATGGTTATGGTAGTAGATATATCTACTTGTCTAGCTTTATAAATTTTTCATTTACAATTTTTAAGGATTGATTACCTTAGCCAAATTGGAATGAAAATTTTACACAATTTTATGAAATTTGTTGGGTATAATAACTTAAGTTGATGATTAAATTATTGTTGAAATTTTCAAAAATAATTTACAGAAATATTTATGTCATGAAAATGTTTTTACTTTGTGGAAAAGAAGTGGGGGAGGGGAAAAATGTTTAAATAATTAAATTTAATATTCTTTTGTAAATAACTCAGTACTTTTTAAAGAGAAAATTTTATATTATACTTTCAGAGTAATAAATATATTATAAAAGTGTTGAAAACTAAACTTATAACAAATAGTCGAAATATTAAAATGTTAATTAAAAAATTAATGCAAATAAAATTTATTTATAACACAAAATCAATATATACTGTAAGTATAAATGTATAGGGTCTACTTGAAATTTTAAGATTGTCTCACTTACATGAGGCACTACTATTGTAAGTGATAAAAAAGACAGACCACTTTGTTGAAAGCAATTCATCAACTCAATTCTTTAATACATCTTTCCTATTTGGTTCGGAATTAGCTCCTATCAGATGGAATTGATTCGAACTTTAGATAGAAGAGTTCTTCTTGATTCTGTTAAGTCTACTTAACTTAGTTTTTAACATTGCTTACGTTACTCATATAGAAGAGTACTTGGTTTGTAAGGAAATAATTTTTACAGAATTAGAATCCTCCAAACATATCCCAAATAAACCCCCTCCCAACCACACTACTAAACATAATGACGCATAAGTCCTTTAAATTCCTTGCCCTTTATCTTTAGCAGAGATATTATCACGTACTACATATGCCGCTCTATCTCCGTTTACTTTTACACAACGATAATCTTCCATATGTCCCTTCCAAAGAGTCAGTTTTAGTGGGTTCAAGTCTTTAACTACTTTTGGTGATAAAAAACATTAATTATTGATTCATACTGGACTATCACAGACAATTAAAAGTGTCCGTCACTGACTATGCCTAAAGGTTTACATGTTCTAGTGTTATGGTAGTAAAAATGTGTACACAGATCATAATAAAATATCAGAAGAAGTATTGGTACGAAAATATCAATCAATACTTTCCACAACAATCAAAACCACTCCCAAATTAATTTAGCAATCTATGATCTTTAGTTAGTAACTGAGTTAAATGAATTTACTCTCGCTATAGGATAGGAAGCGCCTACCTTGCGTAGAAATATAATGAAAAGAAAGGGACACATATATATACCTACGCGGGGTCGACGCTCCCTATCCTAAGGCGACAGGACAGGATTTTCTATTCGAAATCACTAGTTTCAAGTATAGAGTAATCTAATTTTTTTGACAAGGAGACACCATTCGATCTTTTGTTATATATAAATCCTATATATATATATATAGGATTTCATAAGTTCTCTGAAATATTTCAGGACATACCTGTATTCTCGGTTTGTGCTCCTTTTTGCTGCAATTCCTAGTTTCATTTGTCATTTATTTTATTTTTCATTATTTTATTGTTGATAACTATATCTATATATATGCTTTCTTGTCTTTCTACGTATATATAATATTTGATTCAGACTTTTGCTCTCACTTAATATACAAAAAATTTTGTTTTACAAAATCACTTAAAAACTAAAAATGTTAATTGTTTTTTGTTTTTTGTTTTATTTTTTTTTTCTTTGTAAAATTCAACAATTTTCGTTATCTCTTTTTCTTAACATTGATAATGGATTGTAAATTTTTAAACGCGATTTGAAAAAGTTAACAAACGCGTATATATTGCGATAATACAAAGGATATTTTTGTAGCAATTTGCTGAATGAACACATTTCGTGGTATCTGCTTGTTAAGCGTCGAACACTTGATTCGCTCAATATACACAAAATTTAACTGATCCTTTTTCTACAATAACGATGCTTTTATAAACGCCTCTAACACATATATATATTTTATTAGAAATGAAACTTTTTTTTTGAGCTTAGAAAACTAGTTAAATATTTAGAAAATACAATAACAAAAAAATTTCTAATAAATTCAGTCTTTTAGAGCAGACATGACCTGCCTTACACGTTAACATCCCGGGATAGGACTGAAATTGCTTGCACGACTGTTGTGCCAGCTAAGGCAAATGTTAGCAGTTCTGGCTGCTGCTGCTACTGCTACTGCTACTGCTGCTACCACTGCTGCTGCTATTTCACAATGTTCTACACTTTACAGTCACTCTACAGCTTAACAGAACTCAATTACAGCATTGTTAATGCAATAACATTGCAGTTAACAGTCAACTGTATCTACAGTATCTACAGTGGTTTATATGTCTGTAGAGTGCAAATTACATTGCAGTGCAGCGGGAATGCGTCGCAGCAAAGCGTATATATGCTTTTGTCTGCTCCTCAAAAAAAAAGTTTTTTTTTTTGGCTACAGTTTGTAATTTCATTTTGATTTTACTTTTCTTTTATGGCATTGAGCATATGTTTTGCTACTGCTGTACCGTTTCAAAATGAAAAACATAATGAAACGCCTAAAATGCTACAGTGCTACAGTGCTTTGTGTTTTTGGGTTTATTTCGTTTTTGAGGGTGTTTGCGCTCTAGAGTTCGGCGCTCTGCAAGCTCCTGCCACAATTACTGAAGTATGGTCCTAGTCACAGACATTGATGTAGACGTAGTAATTTTGGCAATGACAAAATCGTTCATTATTCCAGCATAACAGCCAACAAGGAAATACTTAGGGTAGTCTTCGTTTGTGCTACCAAATGATTGCAATTTTGTTGTTGTTGTGGTTGTTGTTGTGGTTTTTGTTATTGTATCCTGCAAATGTGCTATGCTTTATTTATGTTTTGTTGCTGTTGCAATTGCTGTTGTGTTGCTGTTACTGTTGCCGTTGCCATTGCCGTTGTTACGATTGCTTTTGGTATTGTGCTGTTAAATTGTGCACTTGCTCCTTAATATTCAGGGAGCAGGAGGTCAATAACCCTGTGCTTGTAAAGTTCAGCGTCATAAAAAATTGTATTTTAGAAAATTTATTCTAACAATTGTTGACTAAGTCTGAGTGTTTTCACATTTAAATTTATTTTCAAGCAATTTTAGAATTCATTAAAAACTATTTTTGAAAGGTTTGGTTAGGTTAAGTCAAGAAAAAAACAACTTTTTTCCCTCAACACGTAGGAGGAATATTCAATGAAGGAATTATTGCGAACTTAAAAGTTATAGGATTTGACAAACATAACCAGCAACTTGAAACTTAAATTTTAAATTACAACTTTTTAATTTTATTATTTTTTTAAGACAAAAAAATGAATCAAAGAAGATTTGATAGCCCATAAGTATCTCCAACAAAATTCAGAAGTCTCATGCACCGTCGTACTGAGCAGGTTACGTTTTAGTTGAAGCAGCTGACTACTACAGTTCTTATTCAGTTTGGACCAGGTCTATCTTGAGATTTGACTGGAGGTTGATCTGTCCAATTTTAATTTTCGTTTATCTCAAATATTTTTGTTTGATTGTCAGCTAGTCAATTGCAAATGGGATATTAGAATCTGACATATGAATGTCAGGAAGTAGGGTGTCTGCCTTGCCAAGCTCGTCTGTCCTACAGCTATCCGAGATATCTGTGTGCAAATAACTAAGCTCGGTTGTCTCGAATTGGTAAGAATCCGGTTACAGCATCAACTACAAGATTACGATATTTTCATAAGGAACCTTGTTGCATCCCGCAACTATGGATTTTGCTATATATTGGAGATAGAAATAATGTATTTTTAACAAAATAATAGTATTTTTGAAGTAAATAAATAATTAAACTCTGTCGAAGTAAATAATTTACTAGAGTACTAGAGTCTTTATTATATGTAATAATCTTCTACGTGTTTGTTACTCATTACGAAGACTTCAATAGAACAAAAAATTATTTATTAATATTAATTTAAATTTTTTGTATTGATTAATAATCAAATTTATTAAATAATATTTGTTTGAGTAGAATTATGATATAATGTAATTTTTAATTTATTTTTTTATTATTTTTGTATACGTAAATATCAATAAATTTTGCAACACCCAAGTGCGAAAGTTGAATACTCTTTCGATTCTCTTGTGTAAACAGTTTCACAAAGAAATTGTAGTGTAGCTGCAAGCCGAACTGTCTGCAACTGCAACAACATGCACATACACATGTACACATACAATTAGGGTTTGAGTTAGGGGTTGCTTTAAAAAATGGATAGTAATGAACGTCCTTGGGTGTGAATGAACTGCAAAAGCCAACAACACTGAAAAGTGCAAGCGAAAGCGTCTGCGACGATGTACAAAAGCAGCAATGGCAGGGGACTTAATGCTATGCAAAAAAAAAACAAAAAAGCAAAAGCAAAAACAAAAACAAAAAAATGAAAAAAACAAAATCAAAACGAAAACGTGAAATAAATGAGCAACAAAACTATGTATACAGACACCAACAACAACAACTACAACAGCCAGAATATCTTTTACGCTGTTATATTGTCGATGGGTAGTTTTTTGCTGCTGTAGACAACATAATTGCTAACAGAAATTAATCAGACAGGCTTGCTTGCATTGTTGGAGTAACTAAAATCTATTGAAGAATAGTTTTAAAAAAAGTAACTAAATTCTAATAAATTTTAGTAAAAATTTTATATTCCGATTTTATTGAAAGAAAGTCAATAAACTCATTTTTACTAATAACATCACTTACTGACGTGACTGGCACAGTTTGATGTCAAAGCACTTCGGCTGGACAAAATTGTTTAACTTTGAATGCACATCCGTTTCTTATATTTAATTTTACAGTTTTATAGTAAGTAAAATGCATTAGAATTTAGGTTTTATTAAAATTGTTTATTATTTAAAGCACGTTCTAACGACAAAATAGATGTTAGTTTGTATATGAGAAACCGTTAGCTGATTTAGTCATGGCTTGGACTGTAATGCACTATACTATGGTAAGTGGCACATATAAAAATGAAGCATAAATTAAAATAATTGTATGCAACGTTTATATTGCAGCAAAATTAAATGAATTGCTGGCTATTTGCTAGACTCAGAACTTGCGGACTCATTATGTATGCAAAACAGTTGAGAAGAATGTCTGTTTGTTACCACAGAGGATTTTTTTTTATTGAAGAAAATTGTATAAAACAAACATGAAAATATCAAAACATATAAAAAATTATTTTAGGTCATAATTTTTAGATAACTTATTAATAGGTAAAATCAAGTCCATTTAAAAAATTTTCAATTATAATAAATACATAATAAATATAAATTGGCATTTAAGTTAAGTTTTGACATATATTTTGTACGAAAAGTTGACATAAAATTCTATTAACAAAAAAAATATTTCAAAAAACTTCAACATTGTGGTATAAATATTCGAGCAAAATTTTGACATTAAAAAAAAAATATTTGACAAGTTCTGACATTGTTGAGAAAAATGATCCACAAGATTTACACATTGTGGAGAAAAAATGTTCAAAAACAAATTTGGACATTGTGGAAAAAATGTTTGACAATCAGTTCTGACATTGTGGAGAAAAATGATCCACATAATTAACGCATTGTGGAGAAAAAATGTTCTAAAAAATTTTGACATTATGGAAAAAATGTTTCACAAAGTTTTGACATTGTGGAGAAAAAATTATTGCAAAAATTAACATAATATAAAAAATAAAATTTTTGTTATTGTAGTTCACTACTGTCGAAAAACCCTCTTTATAAAATTTTAATATTAATTTTTTAAAATTTTTCGATATATAGTTATATGTAAATATTTAAGGCAAAGTGAACGTTTGTCGTAGACCTTATTTAAATTTATGTATAAATATATTTAGTATAACTTATAATCTTTATTATATATTAATGTATAATTTATTATTAAACATTTTTTAACAGGAAATTAATGCTATTTTTAAATTAATTACATTAATATTATTAACTCTAAAAAGTTTCCAACATAAAATATTTTGTTTATTTGGGCCAACTAACAAAGCATGGCTTAAACCATTTCACTCTTTTAACATGCACACTACGCTCTTTATTTCACTCTTAATCGCTACTTTTAACGTCACAGTCAGTGCACAAAGAGTCCATGGCTAATGCCTTGACATTCATCAGTGACAAAAACGTAACAAAAACATAACAAAAACAAAAATGGCTAACCCAGAAGGCATAAATATTCATTTGAATATTTGTAAAGCACACCAAACGTTGTTTGCAGATTACAAATGCTGTGCAGAAACTGCAATCAGGAGGTGCTTTTACATGCTCTTAATATTTACTCTTTACTTTGTGTTTATAGCACCGCGCTTGAGTAGGTCGGTCATTGAACTGACGAACTTGTTTTATTTTCAATATTTTTTTTTTTATGTTACTCATATACTATTGCTTTTCACATATACAAGTGCTCACATTTCTTTTGCTAAGCGCACAACTGGCTTTGCATTAATACGTCTCTTAATGCTTGCGTTCGCTCTCTCTCTCTCTCTCTCTCTCTTGGCACTTGTGTGTTGCCACTTGTATGTACTACCAACAGCCAACAGCCAGCAGCCAAATACTGCTAAGTGCCACTGTCAAAGTCAACATAGACAAAATTTAACTTTTGTTAACATATATTCATGTAGTCTATATTGTATACTGTATGGTATATAGTATACCCGTAGTGCATTAGCTGACACTTGATGTGTGGACGACTTTAATGAAATTCTAAGCGCTGGCAATTAACAAAACTAATGTACGAGCATTTTTGACGCGTTTTCTAATACAGAATAATTGAGCATAGACCGAAACAGTCAGTGTGCAGTTTTATGGTCTCATGCACAAGCGGCTGCTGTTGCTTGCATGCCAACCAAAGCTGTTATTATTATTCTTGTTGTTGTTGTTGTTGTTGTTGTTATATTGAAGTATTTAACAGTGTGCATGGTGCACCTAAAATATATGTTATATAGAAGTGTATGTGTGCGTGCGCTCTGTGCAACAGACGGAAATGCACTTGTTATTGGAGGTTCTTTGTGAAAATGAAAAAAAAGGATTGTTTGAAAACAAGTTAAGTGAAAGAGAATTTTTAAATTAAAAAAAAATAAATATATATATATTTACAATATGTTAACGTAGTTTTTTTTCGTTATTAAACACCTTTTCAACAATCAATGTCAAAATAATTGCCGCATATCAGCCACTTGCAATCTTGTTATTTGATTATTTGAACCTTAATCAAACATTTTGTATTTTCTTCTTCTATTGTGTTGACATATTCGAAGTTTATTTCAATTCAAAGTGAATCTATACACACTGAAGATACCGAATACTGCGAGGTACAGGTACCCTCATGCATAACCACGAATTCATCAATTCAAAAAAAAGGTCATTGGCCGTTTTCTGTTAAATAATTCCAAACATAAAAAAAAAATATTTTTTTAATTTTTTCTTAATATTTTTTTGTAGTCTTTTTTGGTTTTCTTTTCTCAAATGAGACCGAAATTCTTCAAAGAAAAAAAAATTGGTGCAAGATTGAAGAAAAATTTAAGTGTAAATAAAATTGTATTGATATCGTATTACGCTTGCGTATTTGCTTAACAAAACAAATTATAGCGGTACATTTATTTTCCATTGTTAGCAGAAGATACACAGTTTCGTGTGGATTTAGTAACAAAAATATTGATAGGGGAGGGCAAAACAAATAAGACTAACAAACAGAGCGTCAGAGAGTGTCATAAGAACACTTCTTCACATTGTGTAATATAACGGTAAGATATTCTTATATACTAGCTGAACTTTATGTGATTAAACGGGAAGATAGATTTTTTAATATCTCAATATAAATCCTTAAAAAATGATTTAAATCAATAAAATTATCGCATATAAAAGAAATAATTAAATAAATTTCAATTTAATTGAAAAAAAAATAACAAATTTAGTATAAAACATATTCAAAAAATTTATAATAATTAAAATTACTTTAAATTGATTACAACATAATGTTGTTGTTGTTGTTGTTGTGGTTTGAGTTAGTGCTATTGCGCACTTTTACTCTTTTATGGTTGGGGAGCTAATCCCTGCCCACACTAAGCTTTAACTATACTAGAATTATTACCATTTATTTATTTTTTAACTGAGGACATATAAAATAAGTTATTAAATAAATTTAAATTTATTAAAAAGAGATAACAGATTTGTTGTCAAAAATATTTAATAAAAAAGTAATTTAAAAGTAATTTAAGTTAATTAAAATTAAGCAAATTGTAATACATGCAATAATAATAATAATTTTTGTTTAATTATAACAATAAATAATTTTAAAATAATAACAGAAAACCGTTAAATATTATAATAATTATATTTGCTACATTAAAAAAAAAAACATTGAAAAGTTATTATCTCATCAAATCGCTTAAGCTTTTGTCTAAATAAAGTTATTAATTTTAAATGTTAATTAAATAAATTTAAAAAAAAATAATGATAAAAAATGCCAACACATATTACGTAATGTTTGTGAGATAGTCATAAGTCAAAACAGCAGGCATAACTCAAACAAAAAAAAATTATTTTTTTTTAATTAGATACCGTCATCATTTCATATTTAAGGTACATAATTCACAAAAAAAATTATTAAATTATTTTTATTTTACATTTTTTCATATTCAAAGTATGTAATTTACGAAAAAAAAATATGAAATATTTTTATTTATTTTTTTTTTGTATATTAGAAATTTAATTGGTTTTTTCAACTTTTTGTTAGGTTAAACACACTTAACAATTGTGGGTTTTACGTCGAAAAGTTAACAGACATTGTCTTAGCAATGCAATGTCTGTTTGCTGTTATAATTATAATAACAACTATTACAGAAGCAACAATAATAATAACAACAACAACAATAATAATAACAACGACAACATTAATAACAACAACAAGTCAAAGGTGTTTATTTCAACGAAAAAAAGCATTAATAATTATTTAATACAAAATAAAATATAATAACTAAGAAATGAACACACAAGAATAGCAACACCAACAACAACAACATGACCAATACATATGCTATATACAGCATACGCACTGTAATGTCAATGACCGTAACATGGCAAGAAGAGTAAGAGTGAATTTTTTATTTCTACTACAACGCCGCGCCGCTGCTGCCATTGCTGCCGTTTCGTCTTATTATTGCTTTTATTTGACCATGTTACCAACATTTTTATTGACACAAAGGTATCAAAATCACACATTAAGAAAGGCCAGAAAGCGAATGCAATAAAAGCTGACACGCACTTATGAATATAAAGCAACAACGTCAACAGCAACATCAACATCAACATCGACATCAACAGTAACAGCAATAGGAAGAGTAAGAGCAAGAGCAACTGTGGTGGCATAAGTAAAGCAGGACAAAACAAAAACATAAAAACAAAGCGCGCATGTGCAAACATACAAACCAACCTCCAACATACAACTTCCAACATACGTAGTGAGTGGACACAAATTGTCAATGTGTCAAACAGTACAACGCAGTGCAGCAAATGAAGATGCGCAACTTGCGCAAGTTGTTCAAATGCCCAACTCGTTCAAAGCAGCGCAGTTAGCTTTGCAGCAGTTGAACGCCCTTTTCACGGCATGTTGATTCTGTCGTTGCCAGCTAAGAGGCAATGATGGCATTATTGTTGCTTTTAAAAAAGAACTTTTAGTTTTAGTCACACATGAAACTTAAGGGAAAAACGTGCAACAACAGCCTGGCTAATGGAGTGAAGGCACTCACTGTCAGGAAGGATGTTGTTGATGTTGCTTGCAGCATGCCAAACTGTGAACTGGTTTCGTTCGAGACTGTAAAATGCCAATACAATTGGCTGTTGGAACGCGTGCAATAGCAGCAGCAGCAGCAGCGAATGACTATTACTTATAGGGTACAAAAAACAAAAACAAAAGAAAATAATTAAAAAAGAATAAAAACAAAGAACTTAAAAAAAAAATAAAAACTTTGAACTTACTTGAGCTGAGTAAGTTGCACATGCAACATAAGATTCACTTTTTTTAGATTATTCTTTTGCTCTGCGCGTATTGGTGTGGCTGGCTTCTAATATTAAGAGCATTGGTTTGGTATACTTTTGCACACCACTTTTGCACACTACTTTGCCTGCATAAGCGGCTGCGCAGCCGCTGCCTTACTGATTTCGCAGCAAGGTTTTTCAAATGAAAATGAAAACTGAAAACTGAAAACAGAAAACT